GGAGGGTTCAGTGGGGTTGAGTGTGTAAAAACACAGGGACAGCACCTGGCCTGTAACAAGTCCTCAATAAATATTAGCCGTTGTTATTTGATCTGGGGGCCCCTCACCTCTCCACGTGCATGCATCTCTTTCAAACTCCAACAAATGGGAGATCTGAGTGGTAGCCAGTCACCATTGAAAGGGAGCACCCATATTTGGCAGCATTCTCCTGTCAGGTTCCCAACCTATTGCCTTTGAAAGAGGTGCCCATCCCTGTTAAAAATGACTTAGACATGATGAAGCAACTTTTTTTGGTGGGGAGGGGGTCATTAGGTCTACTTATTTATTTATTAGTATTTATTATTGTTATTTTATTTTTTTAATGGAGGTACTAGGGATTGAACCCAGGACCTCGTGCATGCTAAGCACGCACTCTACCATTTTGAGCTATACCGCTGCCCCACCCGAAGCAGCTTTATACCAGTTTCACCACCTTTTCCAAAGAGGGCTGTGGCCATGGCAGTCATTCTAAACTTCATGCGCTTCCCCATTGTATACCTGAAAATGGTACAGAGGCTGTTACTCGTCAATCTGAGCCCATGGTGAGCTGTCTACCACCGTGCCTGCCTCAGCCTTGACCTTCTTCCTCCATCAGCATGGCTGAGCTGCAACGGCCAGTGTCCTTCTTCGTTACATTAGTGAGATAGGGTCTTATGCCAAGTTCCCACTGCTGGAACCTTGAGACTTTTTGCTATTGCATCTTCTCCCATCCTTGCAGGCACAAGGACCCTCTCCTTGTACTCAAAGCCTGTGGACACAAGACTTCCTACCATGCAGTGCCGCCTCCTTGGCAATGGGGTGCTTCTTGTTTAATTCCCGAGGCCATGACAACCATTTCCCTAGCTTGTGGCTCAGTCCCCACTGTGTGCTCCCTGGATAACTGCTTTGCTTTGCTTTGCTTTGCCTGATGCTGATGGTCTGCCTATTTCACTTGGGCTCGTTTAGACATGGGCCAAGGTAAGACACTTTCACTCTACTCACCCCACCTCACCAACTCCCGCAAAGAACTGATGATCTCCTGGGTTATACTTTATTGTGTAAACTCATGGCTCCATGTTCCTACCTCTGACTGAGTTCTCATGTTCTGATCCCTCATTTAGACCCATAAGTGTAGGGGAGAGGAAACTAACTACTCAGGCCAAGATGATAAGGAAAGCACACACTAACTGCAAAGACAGCACATATATGTGCTCACATCAGGATTCTGAGCAAATTGAAAGAATCTTTTCTTTTTTTAAAGGATAATGGACAATAAGTATATGAATCACAGGGTCTACTTGAACTCTGTTCTGCCATATGTGTTGGAGTCAGGCTAAGTAAAGTGCTCTGACTCAGAGGAAAAAGTGACAGGCACCCTGGTCTCAGCTCTGTTTCAGAGCTCATTAGATGACCTGGACAAATCATTTAAACTCTCCTCTGTAATCCCAGTTCTTTAAGTCAAGCACATCTATTATGCCTACCCAAGGGTAACATTAAATATCAATACTGATATAACCAAAGGAAATTAAAATCCATCAATCTATGTGTCTCAGAGTAGGCTGTGAACTTGGGTGGTTGCTGGTACCAGTGTCCGAGGAGGAGCCAAACCACACCTCCAACAGCTTTTCCAACAGTCATGTTGGAAAGACATAAAGAAGTATTGTTAAGGCCAGTTGGGGCATGACCGGGGATGTTGGAAGGATTGTCAAAATACACAAAGATCCTTGTGAAACAGGTCTTCATTCTTGCTTATACATATGAACGGAAGGATTGATGGTGATGTATGAGGATATTCAACTTCCTGGGTTGGATGACACAAGTGGAAACGTGGCAGGACCCACAGTGTAGGCAGATATCACCTCCTGTGGGTGCCAGTGCCTTCATCCTGGGGACCTGTTCTTTCTGGCATCATTTCTATCATGTCAAGAATACAAATTCCAGATGGATTCCAACCCATGACTGCAAGCCATCACTCTGTTGGTCTGAGAGCGAATCAGTATCACTGTCTTGCCTACATGGTATTTGCGGTTCTTTCAGTTTCACTCAGCAAATTTTACTGAGTACTTACTACATGCGATAGAATATGCACTTGAATCCTGGCAATTGGGTCTTAATGACAAGGCTCAGATGGAAACTAGGCGGTTCAGTTTCCCATGGGTAGCTATTCATTCAAACTTCCAGCTTCATCCACTCTTTGTTTTGTCAGGTATTTAATGCACACTTACTAAAGTTAGACCAAAAGTCTCAGAACATTAAAATTATCTAATCCACTAAGAACTTATTTTCTCCTCTCCGCCGCTGCATGAAATGACAACTTTGCCTGTAATCCAGGCACCTCCCTAAGGTGGAGCCAGCAGGCCTGACACTCACCTTACCTGCAACAAGCAGGTCAGGGATCGAAGCTTTAAGCGTGCAGACTGTAACTTACACTTGTGGCTTGTTTTGATACAGAGGAGACACACTCCAGCAATACACTGGTGGCTTCAGAGCAAAGCCTTAACATCCAGCTCACCGTAGTTCCTGTGTATGGGATTGAACAAAGTCTGTACACTAAAGGTATGAACATATCTACAAAATTGGGTATCTCAGGGAAAAGGGTAACATTTATTCTTGGGTGCAGAAACTGCTAATGTC